TATTTATTTATTTATTTATTTATTGATAAAATCTTTTGTTTTTATCAAAAACAAAAGTTATTCCGGGTCTTGGTACACAGGAATCAAAAATCAACCATCGATGAAAACTAATTATTGAAAAATATTGAAAATAAAACTGAGTTTTGTCAATAAAATGACCACAAAAACGTTTTTTTCCCCCGTTTCTTCTTCTGGTTATTCTAGCCCATATTCTGCGGCATATCACTGTAGCTTTAGACTACTTTGAAACCATTTATCGGCAATGTGGTGCATTACATGCTATAATTCACATTCGTTAAATTAACATGGGTTACACAAATATTATTCAAGCTTAAAGCGGTCAGCAAAAGGTAGACTTCCTCCATCACCCACTCACTAAAGTCACCAGGTGAGCAACAGGTGAACTTATAATCACTACCAACACCACTTGATCCAGAGCTACGCCTATCCACTACAACTAAGCAGGTGCGGAATTTCTTTGCTCCGTATTTTTTTTTACATTTGTTGCCTGTTTTTTATTTCCTGCATGAAGATGAAAAAGATGGGTAACTGTTACCCACTGAGTAGTACAACAGATACAAGCATTATTTTCTTCTCCTCCTCCTCCTCCTTCTTCCTTTGTATTTACAGGGTAGAGAAGCGGTGCGTCTGTATCCCAGCCCATACCTGCAATCCCTGCCCAGCCCTCTTTCCTAAAGGCATTTGAGTAAACACAGCTAGGTTGTTGACATTAAATCCTGACTCTGCTCTGCACCACACTGTCTCCCTGGCCCTCTTTCACTCACAAGATATATTAGCAAGGGTCCTTTCTCTTCTCACTTTCCCCAAGAATTCACACAGATGCATTTCCCAACAAAAGCAGGCCATTAATCTTGCGTCATCTCCTGGAAGGTAACACAATCTCCTTGAAGCTAAGGTGCAACATGCCACTCTGTGATTTAGTATCAACACACAAGGACAAGCAAGAATACTGAGAGACAGCAGCCACTTCACACTGTAAAGATCACTAACA